TATCGTTTCCCTTCTCCCTGAAGAACTTCTTTTAACATTTCTTGCAAGGCAGATCTACTGGCAACAAAATCCTTCAATTTTTGTTTGCCTGTATTTCTCCTTCACTTTTAAAGGATAATTTTGTAGGATATAGGTTGGTGGTTTTATTTTCTCAACAGAGAAAATATTTCACTCCACTGTCTTCTTGTTTGCATGGTTTCTGAGGAGAAGTTGGATATAATTCTGATCTTTGTTCCTCTATAGGTAAGGTTTTACCCCCCTCTGGTTTCTTTTGGGATTTTTTTCTTTATCTTTGATTCTCTGATGCTTAAATATAATATGCCTGGGTATAGTTTTTTTTGGCATTTGTCTTGCTTGGTGTTTTCTGACCTTCTTGATCTGTGGTTTGGTGTCTGACATCAATTTGGGGAAATTATCAGTCATTACTGTTTCAAATAGAGCTTATTTTTCTTTTTCTCCTTATGGTATTCCCATTACTTACGTTTATACTTTTCGTAGTTGGTCCACAGTTCTTGGATATTCTGTTATCTTTTTTAAGTCTTTTTTCTCTTTGTTTTTCAGTTTTGGAAATTTCTGTTGTCACATCCTCAAACTCAGAGATTCTTTCCTCAGTCAGTCTTCTAATCAGCTCATCAAAGGCCTTCTTCATTTCTGTTAGTGTTTTTGATCTTTCACACTTCTTTTTTATTCTTTCCTAGAATTTCTATCTCTGTGCTTACATTATCTGTCTGTTCTTACCATGTTGTCTATATTTACTGTTAAAGCCTTTATCGTATTAGTTACAGTTTTAAAAGATTCCTGGTTTGCCTAGGCAAAGAATTTATGAAGAAGACCCAGAGGGCAATCACAGTAACGACAAAAATAAATAAATGGGACTTGATTAAATTTAAACGCTTCTACACAGCCAAGGAAACAATCAACAGAGCAAATAAGCAACCTACAGAATTGGAGAAAATATTCACATACTACACATCCAATATAGGGCTAATTATTACCAGAATCTATAAAGAACTTAAGCAAATCAGCAAGAAAAAAGTCAAACAACATTATGAAAAAGTGGGCAAAGACATGAACAGAAGCTTTTCAAAAGAAGATAGACTAATGGCCAATAAACAAATGAAGAAATGCTCAACGTTACTAGTCATCAGAGAAATGCAAATCAAAACCACAGTAAAATATCACCTAATGCCAGTGAGAATGGCTTTAATCAAAAAGTCCTAAAACAATAGATGCTGGCATGGATGTAGAGAGAGAGGAACACATACACACTGTTGGTGGGATTGCAAACTAGTGCAACCTCTATGGAAAATAGTATGGAGATTCTTCAAAAACCTATAAGTAGACCTAGTATTTGATCTAGAATCCCACTATTGGATATTTACCCAGAGAGGAAAAAATAGTCATTTCATCAAAAAGACACTTGCACTTAAAAATATTTATTACAGCACAATTTATAATTGCAAAGATGTGGAATCAACCCAAGTGCCCATTAATTCATGAATAGATTAATAAAATGTGGTATATGTATACCATGAAGTACTAGTCAGCCATAAAAACGAATTAATACCTTTTGCAACAATCTGGATGGAACTGGAGACCATCTTCATAAGTGAAGTACTGCAAGAATGGAAAAACAAACACCACATGTACTCACTATTAAATTGGAACTAACTGATCAGCACTCATGTGCATACATGGAAGTAAAACTCAACAGAAATCATGCAGATGGGAGGTCAGAGGAGGGATTGGGTGAAATAATACCTATCAGGTACAAGGTATACTATCTGGGTGATGGGCACACTTACAACTTTGACTCAAGCAATACAAAAGCAATCCATGTAACCAAAACATTTGTACCCCTGTAATATTCTGAAATTAAATTCTGGTTTGATAATTTTAACATTCTTGCCATATCTGACTCTATATCTTATGCTTGTTCATTCTCTTCAAACTGTGGTTTTTGCCTTTTTGTAAACTGTCGTCTAATATTTTGTTGAAAGTGGACATGATAGTCCTGGGTTTAGTAAGTGTGGTAAATAGGCCTTTAGTTATGTAATGGTAAAGTGTGGGGGAGGGGGAATATTCTAGAATCCTATGATTAGTTCTCTCTTTTGATGAGCTTATTCTCCTGGATTGTGAACTTCACAGTTTTCTCAGTTTTTTTGTTTGTTCATCACCTTGAGGTGGGACAGGATGGCTGGAAGAGGGTAGAGTAGGTATTTCCCTTTCTCCACATGGAAGTGGAGAGGGAGTTTGATTTGTGTATTTTCCTTCCTCCATGTGGAAGGCTAGAGTTGGCTAGAGTTGGGTGTTTTCTTCCCCTAGCTAGGTTTAGCTCTGATAAAACTCCAGCAGTTTTGACTCTGGTAAAATGGTTTCTCCTTAAGTAGGCATTTTTAAGAAGAACATAATGCTCTGGAATATTTTTAAATGGTTCCCTTTCCTCTTCTCCTACCAGAAACTGGAGGGGATTTTTCTCTGATAGTTACTACAAGGATTTTATAGAACTCCTAAAGGTAAAACTCAAAGTGTGGGGGTCCCCCTTTGACTGGGTCCCCATGGAATTTTTAACTTTGATATTTGTCCAGTTGAACCCTTAACTTACAGTGAAGGTTTTCCTACCCCAGCATTGGTTTGCATGGAGGCTTTTGCTTGTGGATGATTCTCTGGATCCATCTGTGTCTTTGTCTAATTTTGGAGGCAGCAGTTTGCCCTGTGCCTTCACTACTCTGATGGATTTTAGAAGAGTTGTTGATATTTTAGTTTGTTCAGCATTTTATTCTTTTTAGAATAAATTGGCTGCTTCTAATCTCCTTACATGCTGGGCTGGAAACTGGAAGTCTGTATTAACTTTTTATAGTTTCCTAGCCTAGCCATTGTCCTGAGTTCTAGATCTACCTCTCTAACTGCATGTTTTTCTTCTCTACTTGCATGTTCAACTGGAATCACAATATCAATAGGCTCTAATTAAAATCAAGTATATCTGTTTAAACCTGTGCTTCCTACTTAACCTCTGCTCAAAATATAATCTTTCATATTACTTAGGCTCAAAATTTCAAACTATGGTTATCTTTAACATTTATTATACATTCACATTTGAACAATTTTCTCTGAATTCTCTCTGCTTCTAGAATTTCTGTGTTCTGTTCTCAGTGTTCTATTTCAGCTCCTTTTGTCTTTTCAACTAAATTAGTTAGAATAATTTCTTCAATTGATACATCCATATCCATTCTCAGTGTCCTCTAGGTTATCTTGTCTACTGCCTCCAGTTTTGTCACTTTTGTTCTTGCACTCTGTTGTCCCTTTTTCCCTCTTCTTTTCCCTTTCATCAAAACTTACTGAGAGTCTAGGCACTGGGGTAAATGCCAGAAAGTACAGAGATTTACAAGGTAGAGTTCACACTCTTCTTAAATCATGTTACTTTTTTCCTTTAAAGCCATCACTATCTTTCCATTGCCTACAAATTAAGGTTGAACTGTGAACGTTGGGATTCTACAGTAAGGTCCTGACTTGGGTTTTTAAATTTAGCTTATAAATATGACATGATACTCTCCGCATAAATAGAAACAAATAGTGTCTGCATATACTGTCTTTTATCTTTATTTAATGTTCTTTCTAGACTGCTTTTCTTCCTTTCTCCATTCTTGTCAAAATCCTATTTTTCAAAATCTATCTCAAAAGCCACCTCCCCAGTAAAGCCTTTTTCCTCATTTGCTCAATGTCTTCATTTATCCTCCCCTATCCCGATACTTTGTACTTCACATGGCTTTTATTTGGCTACCGTATAATATTGTGTCCTATGTTATAATTATCTAAAGGGTTTCCCTCATGCCTGTGATTAAAATTTGAGTTCATAAAGGGCAGGGCCTGAGTCTGCCATCTTTGAAATAACCCTGCATGTGATAAATGCTTATTTATGTAATTACTGAATTGCATGCCCACCTTTGGGGAAAAGTATCAGTTATTCAAGGCTTAGTTCAAGTTCACTTCTGTAATACTTTCCTATAGCTACTACACATACAACTAGCTAGTTGTTCTTTTCTTTCTTTTATTTTTCTTTTTGGGGGGGATCTTTTTTTGTGTGTGTGATACTTACAAGGTCCAAGGTGGGATATCGTTTTATTAAATGTAGAATCCTTAGGACCTAGCACAATGCCTAACATATGTATGTAGTAAATAATCTGTTGAATAAATAGAAAAACAATATGTTTCCTTTTTTTTCCCATAGTGTTTTGTTGATATAGCTTATAGCACTATCACTTTCTGATTTGTTTGAGGGAGTATTTGTATTACCTGTCCTCCCTTCTAGGTTTTAATCCTATGAAGGGAAGGGAGGAGATCTTTCCCTTCAAAAGAATTTTAATCAAAGCTTTTCTCATAGAAACAATAATACATTTATTCATTCAGGAATTATTTTTTGAGCACCTATTTTGTGCCAGACATTGCTCTTAGCAATAGGAATATTGAGCACCTTAAGAAGGACAAAAATCCCTGATTTCATGGACCTTACTTTCTAGTTAGGGAAACATTCTATTAATGCTTATTGAATTGAATATTAGCTGTAAATGATTGCCTGTGAAGGAATTTTTTTTTTGTTGTTTTTATTTATTTCCGTAGAACTTTCACGTTTATATTATGAATATATCTGATGTACTGTTTACATTTCCAGGTATACTTTAAAACCAAATAATAACTGCCTTTCATTAAGCTTCTGTTATGTGCTAGGAATCTTAATACCTTATTCTTTAAAATATCCTACAAAGTAGGCTTTATTATTTCTATTTTATTGTTGAGAAAAACAAGGTGTGGACATGGTAAGTAATTTGCTGTAATCATAATACTTAACTAGGAAGCAGAAGAGCTGGGATTTAAGTCAAGGTCTGTCTGTTGCTAAAGTCTCTAATATCCTTTGTACTATGTCTCATTTCCAATTTCTTTCAATTTGTTCAAGACAAGTAATATTTTAAAGTCTTACTTGCTTTGTTTTCCTTTCCCAATAGCCACAGTATGAGAACACGTCACTCCAGTCTCCATTTTCAGAGGAATCAGTGTCCCATGCCCAGCAAGAGGAACTTGAGCAAAAACTTGCATCTACTGAGAAAGAAGTTTTACAACTCAATGAGTTTCTCAAACAAAGAATAAGCCAATTTAGTGAAGAGAAAAAGAAACTGGAGGAAAAAGTAGGTATTTTTAATAAAGTTGTATTAGGTCAACAATATTACTTCAGCATATTATTTGTCTGTCATTTACCCTGTGCCAGGTGTCCTACCAGCTTATACAACCATATGGAAGTGATTAATTTTTTTAGTAACTTTTGAGAAACCCTGTGCTATCTGTGAAAATCCAAGGATTTCCTTGAGGGATAAAAATACTCCTTTATATTATATCTTTCTAACCAATAGTGAGTTAGAAAGTCAGTTACCTATACCAATAACTGTTCTCCTTTTTCTATCATGGAGAAAATGGAATGGAGTCTATGATTTCACTTTTCTGTCATGTTTGACATAAAGTGTTAGTAAATTAAATGAAGGTGGTCTATGTTTCATAATGATGTGACTTCAAGTTATTAAGCTGAAGCCCCTGATTCAGAATAAGTAGCTAAAAGCTGAATACATATATATATGTATATTGCATATATATATACACACATATATATAAAATTTATTTGATCTTTCTGCTTTTATTAAAAGCATTTTCACATATTTCATCTCATTCCATTATAGTGTCTTTAAAGATCAAGTAAAACATGCGTTAGCCCTAATTTATTGAAGAGACACAGATCTGTGAGCTACTACTTAGTGGCAGAATTGGTTTTAGACTTCTCTTTTGATATACCCAGCTTATTCTATTAAGTGAGCCTTCCATTCAAGTGGTCTTGGATCAGATCACTGTGATTTCTTCAGATAGGTTTGGCACTATAAATAGAGAATTTGACATCTTTGTGCGTGTACATACATGCATGTGAGTTGAAATTTTTATTTTCTAAAACTGGAAAAAATTTTACATGATCTATCTCAGCCACCTGATGTCTTTTTATCTTAGTTAACTTGAAAGAACTTAAATACTTCTTTCTTGTTTCTTTTCTTTATTCTGGGGGCTTCATACAGTACCACAACTGAGGAAGCAAGGAGGTTATGTACTCATTGGTCATATACATGTGGGAGAAATGTGTATGTGTCACTGTGGCATATGCAGCATCATCCATGGTGCCTGGCATATTGAATAAATGAATAAATTCTTTTGGGTAATTTTTGTGAAAGGGGGGGGGAACCATGAGATAGCCACAAATAAAGGGATAAAGAAAGCAGTTAGAGAGAGATCAAAGATGTCAGAGTGGGTGCATGGTGAAGCATGCATGTCTTTCCCTAAGAAACATAGGGAAAGGTTGATAACAGATGCCAGTGTGGCAGAGTTACTCTTAGAAAAGAAGAGGAATAGCTTCTCTGAGCGAAACAGTGAAGAATAGAAAGATAGTACCAGGGAAACTTGAGAGAGAGTGAATGTAGAGGATAGAGTTTGTGTCAGAGCACATGCGATGGCTTGAGTTCCTGAAGGAAGTGCAGAGGCTAGAAAGTAGGCTCACTGATAACAGATCAACTATTAAATATATAGCACTTTAGGCCCACATAAGATTGGATTACATTGTTTCCTTCTGCATTTACTCTCCAGAATTCTGATTATGACTGATTCTGTGACAGAAAAACATTTAATCTGATAACAATAATAGTGGAAGTTACCCTTTGATGAGCTCTTTCATTTAGGAGCCAGACATGTTGATGTACACTAAGTGCATTTTCTCATTTAATTCTAATTTTCACAAAGACCCTGTGAATATATACTGTACCCCCTTTTAAAACAAAGAAAAAATATGGGACAAGGAAAAAAAAAACAAAGGTAAAACTCAAGATAATTTAACTCTACAGCTTATCCTTTGGTTTTAATAATAATGATTTATAAAAAAATTTAGAGGGAAATATTTCTTCACTAACTTATTTTATTCTAATCATTGTATTTAAAATGAAGAAAAATAACTGTTTGTAAATCTGTTCTGAAACATGGCCCTCCTGTTACCTTCTAGGATTGGTATCAGTATTACATCATGCCTTTTTGAAAGGCAAAAATTAATCATTTACATATAAAATAGAGAAGATTTATTCAGTGATGCCTCATTTACCTGGAGGAAATTCATGTAGTTTAGACTTTAGAAATCTCTGTTAGTCTGAAACAACACAAAACTTGGCAGTGGCAGTTACCAAAAAAAGAGAAACACAAAGAACTTCTCATTGGTGAGCAGGGCTGAAAAAACCCAGGACTTAATAATTATGTGTGATCAACATGTGATCAACAAATAACAGAGATGGTGTCCAGTAAGAGAATGTTGACAGGAATTGTGATCAAGGGCAGCAAGCTTAACATGTGACATCAAAGACAGTTGGCCAACCAAAAGAAAAAGAGGAAAGCTAGGACATCTTTGCATGCATACAGCATGGCCGATCTATTCCAGTTGCTGCTTTTTGGGGCACCATTATGCCACATTTAAACAATTGACTAAATTAAAGAGCATTTAGTAAAACAGGCTAGTTAATCCTGTTTACTTTTGTAACTTATAGGATCATTTGCTAAGGCAAGAGCAGACTTGGTTGATTGGGAATCCAAGCATAGCTGGTTGCTAGAGAATTTATGAGAACCTGCCAATGAGGTGTATGGACCAAGTGAAAGAACATTGACATTCAGTCAGACTGTCTAGATTTAAATTCCAACTCTGACTGACTGACTTGTCATTAAGAATCTAAAGATCTCTGGGCCTCAGATTTTAAAATGGAATTGTATTATATGGTCACCAGCAGTGTGTTTTTTCCGTTTTTTCATTTTGATCACAAGTTAAACTGTAACACCAGCACACTCACCTTTAATCCTGAGAAAGCCCCAATAAATAATAGGATTTATTTGTCTTATCAGTATTACTCCTTACTCTAGGTAATAAATAGATCCTAATGTCATTGATGAATACATAAAATGGGATGTGATAATTTTTCCAAATGAATTTATTTTAATAAAAGTTATACATTAGAACTAAAAGAAATTAGATAAGATATGAAAGAAACCAGACTATGGACAAGTGTTAGCTTTAGTAAAATTTGAAGAAGTTATCTATTATAATACTAATTACTGCTAGTTATTTCCCAGGTGAATATGGGAAAAGGCTATAAAATATTTTAAGAGCATTAAACATTTGGAAAGCTGGGAATTTAAAGTAAATATGAGTCTGGAGTTTACTTTTTAGACAACTATTTTTGTACACATTTTGTTTGTAATTGATCTTAAGTATATGAGATGTGAAAGTTAATATGATATGTTTCAGGTGGTAAGGTGAAAAATATTAGTACATTAAAGTCTGATGTTCAGCCTATATAAATTGGGATCTACTAGAATCATGTACCATTTATGTTCTATAGTAGGTGTTCAATTAGCATATTTCATCAATCCTAAGATGACATCAGTTGTAAGGCATCCTTTTTTAGAAAGAAAATATGCTGCAAATTCAGTTATGACCCAGTGCCTTAACAGTAGTCTTGCTTGAGGTATAGATTGGTCTCATATGTCTCTTAACTGTTCCTAAATATTTGGTGCATTCTCTTGGATATAGGTGCAAGCAATTCCTTTGCGAGTCTGCAATTAACAAAATAGTTGTAGTTAGTTGTAGGTATCTTCCTTTCGTAGTTCACGTAAAGCTGTGCAAAAAATAAGTCATTGGAGTAATTTCTTCAGAGATGAATACTTGCTTCACTGATTTCAAAATTATACCCTGAAGCTTTATTTCTGTGCTTTTGTTGGTATCCAATAACTTTTTCAGTACCAGATTATAATGTAACACTTTTGAAGCATTTTAAACATAATTTAAACTTAACACATAGGTTCAACATGTACTTAACAATATTGAAATGACAAAGATATGAACAGTCTTGACCGAATTTGCGTATGTGCAAGCAAGAAAAACTACATCATTACTGCCTCCTGGCTGACTGCAGTTTATAGGATGCCACCAGTTGTAAAAGCAAACAAATACCTCCAAAACTCTTGATTTCAGTGATAATGAAAATTTGAAAAAGATGTGAATCTTAGAATGAAATAAGGTAAGTCTTAATTGAGTTGCTGGTGGTCTTCACTATAGCCTAGAACTGTTGGTGAATTCAATGATGCCTAAGATATGGAATGTTGGTTCTCTTATTTTGTTTAATGAGTCAAAACTGAAGATTCATAATTGCTTTCTTTAGCTTAAAACCAGAGATAGATACATCAGTAGCCTGAAAAAGAAATGCCAGAAGGAATCTGAACAAAACAAAGAAAAGCAGAGAAGAATTGAGACCTTGGAAAAGTATCTGGCTGATCTTCCAACTCTAGATGATGTACAGAGTCAGAGTCTACAGGTAACATGAAATAAAAGCTCATCTTTAAATGACATAAAAACATGTGATTTTTAAGTTGACTCTTTAGAAATTTGGCTAGTTATAAATTAAATCTATGTGTTTACTTGATGTTTATAGGACTTTGGTCAGAAACTTTAAGCATGAATAAATAGATCTTTTTTATTGTCAGTTAATATGTGATTGCCCTCCTAATGATCCTGTGTGTTAACTGTTTAGCTTCACATTCTGCTATAAAAGATGGTTTTTAAACTAGTCTGATAACCCCTGCCTCATACACACACATGCATGTACCCCAGAATACTTTTCCCAGTATTCTCTGGGATTTACCAAAGCACAAGAAGACCTTTTGTTGACTTTCTAGATAGTTCATTTATTTTCTTCATTCTTCTTAACCTTTCTTTCCATAAATTCGTTCTTCTACCTTGATATGTGACTTCCTATTCACTGCTCTGACTTCTCTTCTATTTTCCTTTCTTAATAATACCTCATCCAAAGTCTTTCCACTAACTCTGGTGAGGCCTACCCTCTTGAAACCTTATTTATAAATACATTAAATCTATTCTTCAGTCTCTTCCCAAAGTCTTCCCAATCCAGGGAATCTCAGTCTTGACACTACTGACATTTGGGGACAGATAATTTTTGTTATAGGAGTCTGCCCTGTGCATTGAAGGATGTACATTTCTGCATTAGCATGTCTGGCTTCTGCCCACTAGATGCCAATAGTGCTGTCCCTTCCCCTCTCTCCCAAACCAAAAACGTCCCCTGGGAGTAAAATCACCCCCGAGTTGAGAATCATTAGTCTAATCCATGGAGTGTCATTATTCTGCATACTTTTTAAGACATATATAGCAGTCTCTGTTTATTTTATATTAATTTAAAGTTGTAAATTAATTATATTAATTTAAATTATATTAATTTAAAGTTGTAAAACCAAGAGAGGTTAGTCAAGAAGGAACTTAAGGACCACAGGAGGTTGCATGAACAGGAACAGAAAGTAATATAGAAATAATATAGAAAGTAATATAAAATAATTAAAAAATATGAGATCATACCGCCTTACAACCGTAAGGATGGCTATTAAGGTTCTTGAACAGATGTTTATGCACCCATGTTTATAACAGCATTATTCACAATAGCCAAAAGGGGGAAGCAATCTGAGTGTTCATGGATGGATGAATGGATAAATAAAAGGTGGTATATACATACAATGGAATATTATTCAGGCCTAAAAAGGAAAGAAATTCTGACACATGCTATAATATGGAGTAAGCTGGAGGACATTTTGCGAAGCAAAATAAGCCTGTCTCAAAACGACAAATTACAGTGATTTTGCTTATATGCGATACTGGGAGTCAAATCATAGAGATAGAAAGTAGAAGGATGGTTGCCAGGGCATAGAGAGAGGAATGGGTAGGGAGTTGTTTCATGGGCATAGAGTTTCAGTTTGGCAAGATGAAGAGTTCTGGAGATTAGTTGCATGACCATGCGGAGGTACCTAACATTACTAAACTGTATACTTGAAATGGTTAAGAGGGTAAATTTTATGTTATATACATACAAACACACACATACACCCAAATTAAAAAATAAAATTTAAATAAATAAATAAACAAGATTAACCTTTCTCTGTCTTCTAGAAATTTCTAACCCCGTTCTCTTTTTCATAGTCCCATTCTCCCAACTTCCTTCCACACAAAGGAGGAGATGATGTTAAGTACTCTAGCTAAAATGAAGATAGTGTAGTATTTGGCTCTAAGTCTATTAATCCTTGAGAACATAGTTAACAATTTCTACTAGAAACATATTTTAACATCCCATGTGTTATGAACTGTAAAAAATTTCTTCTTAGTTGCAGGTTTTAGAAGAAAAAAATAAGAATTTGCAAGAGACTTTGATAGCTACAGAAAAAAAGCTCGAAGAGATCAAAAAACAGTATCAAGATAAAGAGTCACAGTTAATATGCCAGAAAAAGAAAGAAAAGGAGTTAGTAACTACTGTTCAGAGGTAAGAAAACTTTCAGAATCCTTTTATGTTATTTTAAAGTTATTCATGTCTTTCATAAAGCATTTCACTTAAAATACACTAATTTATAATTATTACTTTATTATTCCCTTATTTTAAAGTTAAACTACAAGTTGAGTATCCTATATTTGAAATGCTTGTGACCCAGCAGTGTTTCGGATTTCATATTTTTTTGGATTTCAGAATATTTGCAGTATACTTACTCACTGGGTATCCCTAATCAGACAATCCAAAATTCTCCAATGGTCATTTATTTTGAGTGTCATGTCCATGCTAAAAAGTTTCAGATTTTGGAGCATCTCAGGTTTTGGATTTTCAGATTAGGATTGCTCAATCTGTATTAAGAACCAGAGCTGTAATTTCATTGAACCAGGTTGTCTCATCTCAGTTGTAATTTTATATTTCAAAGCAACATACCGATGTCTTGCCAAAGATTCTAGGTGAGACCATCAAAAACGCACAAATGAAGACTGAAAATATTAACACAAACCCTTTATCTGATGGGTTTGTGAAGAAAATAAGTAAAAGTTATAAGTAACAAAAAAAGGGATAGCAAAATACTCAATCCGTACTCCTTAATAGTATATGTTAAAGTGAAGTAATTGGCTCTCGTTCACCTTACTGCAAATAGAGTAACAGGTATGGCGGATTTGCCATATACTTTCTAGATTTACTCACATATGTTGCCTGATGGGAATCTTCTATTTTAAATTAATACAGTGAAAATTACAGTGAATATTTTTATATTCAATTTCTATATTTAAGCTTGGAAATGGATTCCTAAAAGACCTGGAAAAATCTTTTATATGCATCAACATGGATTTTTCTTTTGTAAAATAAACCTTAATATTATCAACTATAAATAGATAAAACTATCCTGAAGAATAAGACAATAAATGCAACAAAAACTAAATATAAGAAATACGTACTTCATGCTTATATCAATTGTAAAACTCTATGTATTCTCAGCTTTTAAATCAAAATTCATCTGATTCCATGTTAATTTCATATTAATATTGCTTTACTACTACTTTCATGCCTGGTCTACTTTTTTTTTCTTGGATTTTAATGCAGAAAATCTCTGATGTGTGGGACAATTGAATCGTTAGTGTTCCTGATCTCAGCTCCAAAAAATATCATGTACTTTTCATTCTGTCTTTATTTTTTTTCTATTTGCTGCTTTGTTGCTCTTGAATTTCCCTTTTTATAACTCTACATCTTATACCCTAATCTCTAGTCTAAAAACAGTCTCCAGATCTCCCCTAATTCAATCATACAACTTTTTCTTCATCTTTATTGATAAAATGAAAATAGACAATGTATCAGTTCTATCTTATGGAGCAGTATGATCACAAACTTAAGCTGTGTTATTTTAAGAACACTATTGGCAACACCTGAAAATAATTTGAATGTTGTTTTGTTCCATTGTATGCTTTTACATATTTATATGACTATAGATTTTTTTAAGACTTTTTCTTTTATTAGGTTTTTGGAGAACACCTATTATTCTTGGTTTTGAAAGATTTAGTATAGTGCATTTTAGAAAATATTTTCCATTTTTAAACTTCATCTTCATAGTCTCTGAGATGATTATCATCCCAGATAATTTCTCTTGATTTCAAATAGATATAAAGAACCAAAGAAGTTCTGTAATTATTCAGTACTTATATGGCTGGCTACAGTTTCCTCAGTTTTATGATATAATATTCCTTAATTTCCAAAAGAACACTGGATGTATATGTGACTGTGAATTTTATTATTACATATATATGTTTTATATAATATTTCTAAGCTTCCTGCTTTATGAATATTTAACTTAAGTAATTTATAAATATAATAAGAAAAGCTTTCCATTAGAAGTGAGAATTAAAGTTAAAGATGTGGGTGGGATCCTTAATAATGCAATTGTAGGTAACCTCTGCTGCTCAAGAGAGTTATTACTTTTTGAAGTGAGCATACTACATATCCGGAAAATGTATACATGAAAATAACTTATTTGGTATTTTGCCATGACAGTACATTTTCCCCTCTTCATAGCTGGCCTATTTTTTTTATTTGAAAGACTTTAATATTTTTAATTTACTTTGTTTCTTTTGAAGTGTTATAAATGCATGGAAGTAGTATCTTGACACTGAATTAATTAAAAAAAAAGCTTATTCTAAAATCAAAATAATTTATTTTTCCCTTTAGACTCAAAAAGCAAATACTTTTATGACAAGTAGCAGTATACTACATTGGTAATACAAAATGTCTCTGGTGCCATTATCAATAAACACATCTGAGGCCCTAATTGTACCATCTAGGATTGTCAGTTCTCTGCCCATGATCTAGATTCAACATTTCTTCTTTTTTTTTTGGGAAGAGAGAGAAGGCACAGGTTAGCCATAATACTTGAAAGGAGAAGAATAATGAAAATACCAAACCCAAATTATGAGAAGACTTTCTTTTAGTACTTTGCAACTCTGAGTATGATTACAAGCTAAAATAAAACATTCCTAGGTTTCTTGCTGCTATTGTTTTGGTTTTGGTTTCGTCATTATTGTTAACAATATTGCCTTTTAACCCAAGCATTACTATTCTTCCTTTCTTAAAGCCCCTTTATCCTTTTATTTTTAATTTAAAAGAGGAGCTTCCTTTTGTTGTTTTTCCTCTTGTATAGTGAGACACTGTTTGGTAAATTTATAAACATAGTAGATTGTTGCTCTTATTAATGAAGGAGGAATGTAATTATCCTTGTTTAGGCAACAACTATTCTTATAAGTAGATTTTTCCTGAGCTCAGAAAATGGACAAAAAGATATGTATCCATATTTTTAGGCTCCCTACCACAATTATCTTAATCAAGGAATTCTCTGCTTTCAGGGGAAAGGGAAAGAACAGGAGTTAGATTAAAGAGCTCAGATTTTAAGTCCTCTGATAGAGGACTTCATTGGCGCCTAAGTATGTCACATGCTAAGCAACTCTGGACCTGGTCTCAAATTTGCCTTTTCTGAAAAGATGATCAGCATCTACATAATTATGGACGCTTCTTCTATAAAATATAGACACACATTCATATACTACTCTGTCGCTCTTGATTAAAAAATATTATATACCCTAAAAAGGAACATCATTTATGTTGAAGTCATCTATCAAAATCAGCAAATAGAGCTTATTTTCTTCATATGATTGTGTCTTTTGAAAAGTTTGCAACAAAAAGTAGAAAGATGCCTTGAAGATGGAATCCGCCTTCCCATGTTAGATGCAAAACAGCTTCAGAATGAAAATGATAATCTCAGAGAACAAAATGAGACTGCTAATAAGGTCAGTAGTTACCTCTGATAATAAAAATGAAATCTATACTGTGTGGATATGTGTGTATAGATATATAATTTATAGTTAATTTATGTGATTTATATTTGTATTAATATTTAATAGCTTATGGAATTTTAATTTGAATGTTTTTATTTGGAAAGAAAATAGCAGTTTAAACAAATTTAAATTTAGATAAAAGCCAAAATAAAAGGATATCTTGTTCCTTCCTAAATTACTCAAAATCCATCTCAAAGTTATTCTTATAAATAACACAGAGAAAAGTTTTACCAAGAACAGTTTTATATGTGTGTGACCTAAATCATAAGGATCCTTGGTATGAATACTTTTGTAAAAAAAAAAAAAAAAGATTCTTTTCAAAAATAAATTCATAACTCTCTGTCCTTTGTTTTCTTAGAATATTCATACTTTTAAAAAGCAATGGAAAAAATTATTTGATTCAAACTGATTTATTTCCTGTGTTTTAGATAATAGACAGTCAACAGGATGAAATTGACAGAATGATTTTAGAAATTCAGGTAAGGAATATTTTTCACTTATTTTAAGTTAGCTATATGCATATTTAATGCTTATATAACCTAAAAATATTAACACATATATGTATGAAAAGATAATAATAGCACTTGAGGTAAAGCTGTAAATTCTTTAATATTAAATGTTCTAGTTTTTTATAAAGAAAATGCTATTTGGTAAATTCTTCAAAAAATTGTGCAATAGTTCTTCTCTATTCCTTGCCTCTCCTTCTCTGTGTTATTGGATGTAGCCTATCTCCACTATTGAGAACACATTTGGTTAAGGTCAGAAGTGATATAATAATAGAAGATGGATTCTTCTTAGTCCACATATTATTTGGTCTTTATACAGCTCTCATCTAGAAGCATATCCACAGCCCCACTCTGTTCATCATAAGATCCCTTTTCTCCATCAAATTCTCCTCAGTTTTATGAAGAGTTCTATTTCTCTGCCCCACCCCTTAAATATTGATATCTTGCAAGCATATCTCTGTCCCCTCCCTTGTATCCCAATTAATAATGGCCTAACATTAAGATCTGTATTATCACTTTATCTCTTTTCTCCTAACTGGTTTTCTGTGCCTTCCAATTATGCTTCTACCCCGCCATTGTCTCAGTTCTGCAGGGTGTCCCAGAAGTCACCATACATAGGGAAAATAGGAAATTGTAGCTAAATAAACCTTTATTTACAAAGTATTCATTGCAAAATTTTTCCTTTGTATGGAGACTTTTGGGACAACCTGTATAAGGCATTTAGATGACGCTTTTCAAGTGTAGAAATAATCTGGTGCCTCCCTATTATCTGAGGGAAAAAGTCCTGAATTCTAAGCATGGCATTCCCATAGTCTGCTTTTCTACTTCCTTCTACCTCCCTACCTTCAGAACATACACACCGTGCTTATGCAAGTACATACATACTATACATGAGCATGCATATATGGTGCCTCAGTAAATTTCAGGGCTTGGAGTTTACCAAAAAGTACCTATATTCTTCTTGGAATGCTCATCTGACAAGTATTGACTCAGCTTTCAGGATTCTGCAGAAACATTTCTATAAAACCTGGAAATACTTTCTCTACCTTTTAGAGAGAATTGGCCCACATCCCTATTAACTTTACTCCACCTCCTAATAACCGTATATATTATTTCTGTAATATCAAACTATAACACTTTGTTTTTTATATTTATGTCTTTACCTTCTAGTTAGTTTCTTGAAAGTAGAGACTGTGATATTTCATCTGTAGATCTAGATCTTAGTAGAGTGCCTGACTCATAAAACACACCCCAAACTTTAGGAATTAAATGGATTTTTATTCTTTTATTTATTTGTCAGATATTTACTGAGCCCCTGCCTGTATGCCAGGCACAGTTCTTGGCACTGGGGATCAATCAATGAACAAAACAAGCCCCTGACCATTCTAGTGGGGTGAGTTGGAGATAATGGAAGACTAATAGATGCCAGGTGCTGTGAAAAAAAATGCTATTATTAATAAAAAATGCTATTAAAAATTAGGTAGGATAGAGAATAGTGACAGAGAGTGCTGCATTTGATAGAGTGGTCATGACATTTTTCCTCAGGAGGAAATATTTGAACAGCAGTTTGAATGAAAATATATAGGGGAAGAGCATTCCAGGCAAAGGGAGCAACAAATGCCCTTAATCCGCCTGCTGTGCTCTAAGACCAGCAAGAAGTCTGCAAACCCAGAGTGCAGGGATTGTGAGGTAGAGAGGAGAGAAGTGATGGTGGAAAGTAGCCTGGGACCAGATCACAAAGGGGTATATGTCTTTGCATTTTATTCTAAGTGTGATGGGAAGCGATTGGACAAATTTTGCTGAAAAATTTTTAGTTTTATATTTCCTAATTCTAATATTACTTCTTAAAGTAGAAGTAGAAATGGTAAATGGTTTGTGTGTCAGAATTATGTATAGTCTGCTTTGATTGTATTTTTGCTGTATTAAGTGATTTATCAATTTAAGTAAACACCAATCTGATTCAACAAATGTATGAACCTGATGGATTGATTCACAGAGTTTATAATCTCTTTTGTATTCCTACAGACATAACTTCAGTTGTTCCATAAGGCATTAAAGTCCCAAAATTGTTAGGTTCCCTCAGCCATTATTATCTGATTTCCTATCAAAGACCATAATGAAAGGAATTTCTATTCCACTTGGTAACATTTTCCAAGAAGTAAATCTAATAAAATTTATTTTAATCTAAATTAAGGACAATCACCACATGAACTTTGGCATTGAAACTTTGTTGATAAGATTTTATCACATACTATCTCTCATATTATAGGTGTTCAGTAGGTATTTGTGTTAATTGAAATGTGCATTTTTGCCATTTGTGTTTGCATATTAATGCAATTTACTCTTACACATTAACCAAGTCTTTAGTCACATGTAAATATGTCATGACCATATACAAATAAATATGTAGAAAAATATGTAATTATGCCATTCTGTTCCTTGATCTTAAAATGTTTGAGCAAACTAGCTTCTTTCATTTCTCAAACAACTTAAGAAAATTGAAATAAAATTAATGAGATGTATTTATTTTCAAATATTTGGGCCCAGACAGTATACTTGTTAATTCTTTTGTCTTATCTTTTGAAGCATGGCTATCATTTTTTTTTTTTTTTTCATTTTTGATCTTTGCATCTCTTTTACCCATTTTGACCATATAGGTCTATAGATCTAGAGACACAGAGATCTGTAGGTATAGATCACAGAGACAGACAGTAGATGTTGATAACTTGCCAATTTAGTTATTATTTATCAAGATGTTATTTGAATGGCAAATTATAGATGGAGACAAATATGATTTACATACTGAGAAAATTCTTTCCTTAACTCTTCTCAGGTTATTTTTTTGGCCCCTTAAAGTTGAAAAAGCAAGGTTTTATTTTTGTTTGTATTGGGTGGACTATGAATCCTTTTCGTAAAAGTTGCGTTCTCTGTAAAAACCTAAAAATTTTGCCTATTGTGAAAAAAGAACACTAATTATTTCCCTTGCATTGGAAATCCTTAAGAATACTTTGGGTTGAAAAAGTATTCTTATTGCTTTGCACTGCAGTTAATGAGCATAATTAATGTGCATATTATCAAATTGATACACCTCATAGAGCATTTCCTTTCAAGTACTAATTCTTTAAAGCAGCCTAGTTTTTCCTCATCTGCTTACATAAAGGATGGCCAAGTTTTTACCTATGTAGATTATGTTGTCTTTTCCATATGCTGTAGCTCTGTTTAATTTCTTTAAATTCCTTAACATAGCCAAAATAACACAAAGTACTGTATAATTAAGGGTAACAGAGAGCCTCCCAATTATTTTTAACATAAATTATGCAGTTTGACTATCACTATAATATTAAATTTATAAAATTTCACTGCCATTGTAGTTGGGTATTCTTTGTTCCTCCACAGTACTGGAATGTTTTTCCATTTTAAAGTATTTTGTAGACAAAGATAAGCTAGTATTATTAGAATTTCATGTTTCACTGATTCTTTTTTTTTTTTTTTTTTTTTTTGGAGACAGGGTCTCACTTGTTGTCCAGGCTTAGTGAGTGCCGTGGCATCAGCCTAGCTCACAGCAACCTCAAACTCCTGGGCTCAAGTAATCCTTCTGCCTCAGCCTCCCGAGTAGCTGGGACTACAGGCATGCACCACCATGCCCGGCTAATTTTAGATATATTAGTTGGCCAATTAATTTCTTTCTATTTATAGTAGAGACGGGGTCTCGCTCTTGCTTAGGCTGGTTTCGAACTCCTGACCTCGAGCAATCCGCCCGCCTCGGCCTCCCAAGAGCTAGGATTACAGGCGTGAGCCACCGCGCCCGGCCTTCACTGATTCTTTATGTCCCTGTAAACTATCGAGAAGACCAAATTTGTTTGAAGTTCATTTGACTGATTTGGAGTACTACATTGCCTTGGAAACAAGCAAGTTATTCTTACAGTTTAAATTTAATCCCAAAAGGGAAAAATAAAATCCTATACCATGTACCTTTTACTTCCAATTTATAAAAGATAAGAATAAGGCATTGTTTCATAGTAAAATGCTGTGTTTTATTGGAAAGTTTACTGATTCATAGATTTGAAAGTTGAGGAGAAATCAGCCTTCAACTACTTATAATGTTGTTGAAATATAGAAAAAGTAGTACTTCGTGCAAAAGTATATGCTAATTTTGAAACTGAGTTGAGTGCTATAAAAATACAGAATTATCTACCATTTTTTCACTTGTGAAGATGATTTTGCTAATTGGCACGAATACCTTTGTTTACTCATTGACCTTTTAGAAATGTTGTCTTTCTTTATATTCATAAAACCACTATAGCTAATACAGCCAATAACACAGGCTCCCTCTCCTCCCAGCTCCCAGTTAGAGAGCTGCCTTCCCAGAAGGGACAAGACATCAGTATTTATCATACTGCTCCTAGCAACATGTAGCTGAGGCTAAGCTTCATGCAAGTACAGCTAAGAGGTGGGGGCTCCCCTCTTCCACCTAGATCCTGTCATGGGATGGAGGCTTTACTTTGAGTGCAGCACCACTGAGAATACTGGGGCCCTGGTTGCCTTGCCCCAGCTTGCGGAACAGGGGTTCCACACTGGGAGAGCCAAGCCCAAGGAGATCTAGAGCTGCTGCCCTACTCCCTCCACTGAGTGCTCAGCTCCTAGAGTAGGGGTGTCACTCAGAAGCTTGTCATTGTCTATACGCCCATTGACCTGCCTCAAAGATTTTGTCTGAGGAAAAGTAGTCCATAAAACAGGAAGCTCCAAATATCTCTTTATAAGGAACTGGCTTCATTTCCAACAGTGTGGAGAAAAGTTCAAGCCTAAGGGCACTCTCAAAAACATTGGAGGTTGTGGTAAAAGGCAACTGGCAGGGTACTATTAGATCCATTGATGCTATAGGTAGTCTAAACTATAGGCTGACTACTTTCCCAGAGAGAAACAGTGAGTGAGGTCAGTGGGAAGAGCATTCCTGGAATCAGAACAAATCTCAA